CGCATCAGAGAGACAGGAGCGTAATGATAAAGTGGTGCTGTGTGCTGATCTCGAGAGCGTTACATGACTTTATGGGCTAATCGTACTCAGCCCGATCGATTATCTAATGCATCCCGGGTATAGTCGGTCCCGTGTTATAGCGCGTCCTCCTCCGCTCCTAGTGTCTAGGAGCTCAAGCGCTGCGCGCAAGTGTGCATGAGCCGTGCGAAATAAAGATAAACCGACGGCGGCCCATCGTCTCTCGACGGCGACAGACCGTGAATGTGCTCCGTCACTGATACGGAATTTTCAGCGACGTAATCTCCGTGTCGCCGCCCGCCGATAAGACCGAAGAAACCGCGACGCGCGGCGGGGAGGGGGGGGGAGGGTGCCTCACTAAATTATATTCGTAACATGTTCATGAAAATTCAATGGGCTGTAACGACGTGGGTGTACCGTAATAAAGCCGGCCTGTGCAACGACCCCGTTAAGTGGTATTGCGATCGCGAACGCCGCCGGTACCACGGCACGACAGACGCCTTCGAATTAAAGCGACGCTCGGAATTTTCAGCCGGTCGATCGGGCCGTTCGAGCGTTTCGACCGCGTACAACCCTTTCGCCGCGCAGCACCTTGCCCGTCGATTATTAAGAGCCCGCCGTTGACCGAGTCTCGCGCGCGCGCGCGCGCAAATGCGAAAGACGGAGGTTATTGTTTCTTTGTAATTGCGCCACAATCTCTCGCCTGGCGAAAAATGCCGGAATACTTTGGAAAATTTCACGTTATCGCGGCGAGACTTTGCGAGTTAATGACGTCGCGGGTAATCGATTACGCGGCGTTCCACGAGACGTTCAATCAGGTGTGGTGACTCGACGATTCGCGCTGAAAATTATTAATCTCCGCACGAAAGTTTGTGCATTCGAGCGAACCTTGACTTTGCATAAGTTGCTGACGTCGCTGAAGAATGACATTTCACTAATCTATCGAAAATTGAAATGTTTACGGCTGAAAGAACTTGATTTTTTGACATTCGTACACGAAAAATTCTTATTTTCACGCGTATCTTGCTTTTGAGCGGTGTTATCGGTATATCGTTAATTAATAATGACGCTTGGGTGTAAAATATCCCTTGAAACATATTCTGACATATATATTCGGCATCATCGACAATTACGAAATTCCTTTCAAGACGTTTGACCTACAGGAGAGCTAAAACCTTTGCCGTCAGGCCGCTACTCGTGCCTCATTTCGGCTAATAGAGAAAGGCACGAGGTTTTCGTGTAGTCGTTAATTAAGATGTCTATCGCGCGTTGCAAAATATAGACGCCGGCAGTGCGGCGGGGAGGTCGGCAGATAGAATCTGGAAGCCCGGCCGAATCTTTTCGAAGGTGTCGCGCGCGTTGTGTGGCGTAACGAAAGACATCGATTTACCGTGGCGGCGGCATACACGCCGCGAAGGTGCGCCGCGCCGCAATTCCAACTGTCGACTGTCGCGATAGAGAAGACAGGAGAGAGACAGAGAGATAGATCGAGAGAGAGAGAGAGAGAGAGAGAGAGTGATAATAAATATCGCTTTGCGATCCGTAGTTTCGCAGTAGGTACAGGCTGGCTATTGTGCAAACTACTCGCGCAGGCGCATCGGAGACGAGCGCCGACGTGGTTAAACCCATTTCGAAGCTCCAGCCCCGAGGATAGCCGTCCGGAGGAACAGCCCTGGAATGTCGCACGTTCCTCCGCCGAGCGCGCACCGGTTGATCTTGGACGCTATGAGCCCCCGGCGCGGCGTTGTGCACCGCCGGCTCCTTATTACATATCCGCGACGTTACGGCTGCCGCTAACGTTCGAGTCGCCCGCGTGAGTGCGACGAGCTACGAACGAGTTGGTTGCGGCCGCTCGCAGGGAGGCAGCGGCCACTTTTACCCCGTGAAATAGCGTACATATGTATACGCTCACGGTAAAGCGCTCGCGAAAGTCCGCGTAGCGGAAACTTACACCGCTGTGGGAAAAGTGCCTCTCCCGCAAGCTTTTGCGTTACTATCGCCGTGCGTTTGCGTCCCGACAAAAGAATGCGCCGAGACGGAGAACAGATATTCCAAGTCGCGCAGCGAACGCGCGCGCGAGGTGATATCTCGGATACCGCCCGCCGTTACTTGATACAGAACGGGGAGACTTATTTACAACTACTCGCATGCAGAGCGAGCGAGCAGTTTTCCATTTCCCTCTTTTTCTTGTCTTGTCTCTCTCTCTCTCTCTCTCTCTCTCTCTCCCCCCTCTCTCTCTCTCTCTCTCTCCTAACGCGTACTTTGATCGTTTAAAGCGTCGTCCTTTTTAAAGCTCGTCTCTCAATTGCGCTCTTCCACGCTCTTGATCGCCCCGATGTAATTTATCTCACCCGCGATAATCTGCCCGGCATACCATTGGCGTAATCTAGGTTGCTCTGGCTTACTCCGGATGAGTAAGTCGCTCGTGCTCGACGATATAACCTAGATCAGTCTGAATCGCCTACACGCCCGTTATCAAGCCGATTCTGTCAGACACGCTCTCGATCTCTCGCATCTACGCGCTCGCTTCCTCGTGATTGAAGAAATCACCGGCGCGCAACCCGGCGAGCCGCCCGGCAAATATACGTGCGTTCGTGACCCAACATGGGGGAGAAGGCGAGAGAAAAATCACGCCCGAGTCCTACGGATACTACATAGATATTTCCCACCTGCCATTTCGGCGCAAGAACGCGCCGTCGGAATATTCCGATCCATCCCCGGCTATAACTTCATCTCGCCTCTCGTATAATAATGACATTTGAGTTCTGAATATAGTTATGCAACTTCCATCATCTGTGTCTGTGAGCTAGCACTATCGACGACCGGGATGCGCGCTTCCACAAACTCGGTTTAATTTCGCAGACAATAGCGCCCATCCCCCCTCCCCGGTGCTCTCTCTCTCTCTCTCTCTCTCTCTCTCTCTCTCTCTGTGCGCGTGCCCGCGCCCTTATCGAGAACGGCGACTTTTCTAAGAGTTTCGATACGGCGCGTATCCCTGTTGCGGTCGCCCAAGGAAACGTACGTGTTGAAACACATGTCACGGCGCTTACGTTCCGCGCATCTGACGTTTACGGAGTGCCGCACACGAGAACGCTAATCCTAGAATACACGTGTCACCGTTGCGTCCGTCACTTACGGAAAATGCACACGCGAGCGACGGATGTATCTGAAAATGCAAGGGCCACGAACGAGCGAGCGAGCGAGCGATAGAGCACGTTTTCCATATCGCGACAGCGATACCCGTTGCTTCTTCTCTCGGGAGCAACGACCGTGCCGAAAACGCGCTGCTCAAAAACGCCGACGAAATTTGCCGACGAGAGGCCGCTCCGCCACGACGGGCGGCGCGGCGTCGCGCGATCTCTCACGGTTATTGCCGCCGAAAGCGGATTCATTTGCGTCCCCCGCACATTCGTTCCGTTCGTTCGGGCGAATTATGAAGCGGAGAGTACGAAAATTACCTCCCTCTCTTTTTTTCTCTTTCGCCACTCACGAGCCCGTTCGTGGAGCAGCCCCGGCGGCTGCGTTGCGTGAACGCGTGAGTACGTACGTACGTACGTACGTACGGTGCTCGGTAACTCGTTGACTGAATTAACGCTCCATTATGTAAAACGGCGAATTCTCGCGCGTCGCCGCTGCAAGCAATTACGCGTGGTATACCGTGTGTCAACCATTTCGGATATTCTTCGCCGTTATGAAACGACGTTTTCGGTGCGCCGACCGGGCGCGCTCTCGTACTGAAATATACAGATTTTAAAATCTGCACGAGCGCATGCCGTCTGGCTGTGCCGGAGATGAGAACGAAGAGGGGCAGGAGGAGGAGGAGGAGGAGGAGGAGGAAGCGGCAGCGAGGAACTCGCTATTTAAGTCCAACCTATTTTCCGGCATGCGCACAATGAGCGAGTAACATACTAAGAGCCGGCAAGTATTCGCCCGCGGAGCCGGCGGTGGAGGTAGAGAACTGCTTTTCTCATTCATAATATATTGCGCGCCAACACATTGTACCGCGATAAAGCATTGCGCGCGCACGCGCGCGTATGTATGTGCAGAGGGACGAGGAAGAGATCGTAGTCATCGATCCTCAATATTGCGAGAATACGTAATTAAGAGTGCGAATCTTGGCTGAATGCGACACGAAAGACGACGGTGACGACGGTCCCGTCGCGATTGCTCAGGGCCAAAGGCCCTCGAAAACGTCGCGGAATTCACCGATGCCGCTCTAATAATAGATAACGGATAGATACCGCGCGTCAAGAGTAAGAAGAAACTTTGATGCTCTTTGTTACGGGGAGAACGCCCAAACTACGAGATGGCGGATGAGTAATTAAGGAAACCGTTAACTGCAAAATCCGATTTATCCGCGACGATTGGCTTCAAAGTTTCTCGTTGGGCAGGAGGAGGGCAGGAGCGGGGTGGCGAGTGTTCCCGGAGTTTCAATCAACCCTCTTCGGAACAGGTACTTTGCAGCCGTTGCTCTAAGACGTTCGGAATGCGATTATAATAAATTCCTGGCTAAAAGTCGCCAAAGTACCCCCGAATCCGTTTTCGATGATAATAGTCGGAGGGAAATGGGAAGGAGGAGAAAAGCAGAGAGTTTTACACCGCGGGATATGGTACGCTGTAGCGCCGCGCGCGCGCGGCTTAGTCAGTAGCTTGCATTTTGCAGGCGTCGGGATTGCGATTTGCATGTAAAACGAAATGCGCTCTTGCCCGCGTATTTACCACGTGGATGATACCTCAATATTCCTTGTACTCGAGGTATGTCTGACTTTTCGCTAAATATTTGTACTTGGCGATCTCGTTCCACGATCACTCGAAACTTTGCGTAGGTGCTTCACGAGCGGATGATCCCGCTCGTACCTTAAAACTCCACATGTGGGTTCTACAGTGTGCGATATAATCAAACGAAAACGCATTGATAGCTGTCGAACAAACCGCCGTCCAATCCAAACCAATCCAAACCATAATGTCGCGATTTATATTCCGGCAATGCATTTCGAATAATGCCGCGGCATAATATTATTAGAAGCATATTGTAATAATACCCGGTACACGCGTTGCTTGCTTTTCAATAATAATATTCATCGCCTTTCTTTCTCTTCTTTCGTCGACTAAAATAACTTTTCATCTTGTGTTGCAGGTAAATATATACTTGGGCCATGTTTAGACGGAGTTGGAAACAGGTACGTGCTTATCGAATCTTTCTTTGCATCTTTTTGAGATATTGTGAACCTCATAGCGGCTCGCAGCACACATGTGCGAAATTCACGAGAGGAACACAAAATGTTAGCTGCTACGCACCACCGTATATTACCGCGGCATAATATTATTAGAAGCATTGTAATAATACCCGGTACACGCGTTGCTTGCTTTTCAATTTCCGTTGAAAATATTGAAATGCAACTTTTTCTATAACCTTACACATTCGCATTGCCACCGGTATAAACCGCTCAATACGACAAGCTCCATCTGTCCCCGAAGTATTTCCGGAGTTTTTTTTTTTTTGCAGAAACGTGATTTCCTTGCGGCAAAAACCACATGTTTTAGCAAAAATAATATATATATATATATATATATATGTTATATACACGCATCTTTATATACGAAGGCGTGCGTACATGTGTGGTGTATAGGCCAAATGTGAATAATTCAAATGCCATTTTTCGAACGGATTTGTCAGTTCGACACCCGCACGTACTGCCAGACAATATATCCGATAAAGTGCCGAAAGCAATCGCCGTCATCCACTTGACATAAAAAGGGCTTATTTATGGAGCACCCGTCGATATCTGGCCTAACTTTAATTGGCAGCCGGGTGCCCTTACGCTGTTGCAACCTCCTACCGTTACGGATAAGCGAAGATGATTTATATCGTTCAGTTAACTAACACCCCTCTCGAACCTTCTTTTCTTCTCGCAAAAATATTTTTATTTTTTATTTCTTTTTATTTATTTATTTCTTTTTTTAATTTTTTTTGCAAAAGATTGCGTCAGTCCCGGGTGCATCCTGCAAAATTATTTCTTGCTATATATATCACGATGATATCGCGTATCAAAACAACCAAGCGGTGCTAGCGATTTAATTAAATTGTCTGTTTTCCGTTTGCGTGTAATTGAAATGCAACTTTTCGAGCGTGTTAATATACAAATCTACATGCGCATCGATGTACGTAAAAATATACTCTATGGCAGAGAAAATATAGTTGAAATAAGCAACTTTGCTGAAACGAAATAACTATTGACTTCCGTTTTGGAATTATTTTATGATTATGTTCGCGTTGCGAGTTTTGCGATCGTGCGTGCATATCCGCATGATTCAACACATTGAATAATAAATAACCCATGTGTGTAATGTGCATGCATCATAAATTGATGCGCAGGGATAACATTTTTGTCCGTTTCCTTGATACGCGATGATCATTTACACACATATTGAGATTCTCCATTGGTGCTTTAAATTCTACAGAATTCGCAGGAATAATTCAGAATCAAAAGTTCAACTTAGATTATGTACATTGGACTACCGATAAACTCGGCTTGCAAATTGAACCGGAAATTACTATTTCGACTCGTTAAACAATACAACACATGGTCGAATAAGCCGTTACTGACGCGCGAATACAATACGTTCGAATAAAATGATGTGGGTGTCCATCGATTAGCACGTTCGTTCGACCAAAGTCATACATGTGTGACAGCGATCATTTTGCTCTTTATATCTACATAAACGGACTGAAAGTCTGTTCTACGCACAATTACATGAGGAAAAGAAAGACAAGATAACTCGTGAGAGAAGTTTCCGCGCGAGTTATCGCGCGATTACGCAATCTTCAGTGTATGAAGAGGCTATTTATTCTGACGTTTATTTTCACATAACTGCACATTACTCTTGTTATTCATCATATACTCGACGTCATGTATACCGTACCATTCCGTAGAGAGTTGCACCATTTCCGGCCTTGAAACCATTATAATTGGAGGCATTACAACTTTACCATTATGCCTAGATTCACTTATGCGATTTCCAGCTTTGTGTTGCGTGTGTAAGATTGAAAACAGTCCAACTCTCTCTGGAAAATGACACGGCATGTATGACACGCTTACTGTGTATTCGTTTTTGCGTAACGTTTTTTCATTCTTCCTCTTTTTTCCGATTAGAAAATTAAAAGCGCATCAAATGATCATAGCGGTGATGCAGCGGCTGAATTCTTAATACTCTCTTGTGATCTTAACGTTAACGTGTTACTTGTGGGGCAAGTTTACGTATTATTTTACATTTTATACGTGCATCCTCGTAAAATTCTGAAATTTTGTTATCGTTACCGCCCGGTCCTTCCGACCAGCGCGCGCATTCGTTGCCTTTATCTCGCGGCACACGCGGCAAGAAAACGCCCCGCGCGAAAGCCATTTATGCCGAGGTATCTTGGATAGCATTTTCCGAAAGCGAAAAACCGCGATGTCTCTCTCGCCGGTAGTCCGTAGGTGCCAGGTTTGCACGCTAATGGCGGACGGATTATCGCGAAAGCGCGGGCTTGGCTGTTACGTTTCTTGCACGAAAGAGTTGTTGATACTTGGCGATCCCCCGGTGATAACCCAATTTGTACCGGCCGGTACGCGACAAGTCGGCCTCGCTCGTAAAGCTCCACGGTAAACAATGCCGAAAGCTGTTTTCGCGGGTCAAGAAGGTGCGAGTCAGCTCGCCAGGCACGCGCTCGAAAGAAAGTCACGTTTTTGCACACGAGAGCCGACACACACAGCCGCTATAGAAAGCTCGTTACAGCGCCACTTGTTGTCACAGCCTCCCTCCCCCTGAACCCTTTCGACGGCTCTATTATAACGAAAAGTTCATCTCGCGGGTGCTTCTTTTCGCTCGCGAGACCGTGGAGAATATCGTCGGGGGAGAAGGGCGACGACGCTCGTCGTCGGGGCTTTTGTCCTCGTCGGGAGACGTAAAATTGCGTCCCTTCATCCTCCAATATACATCCACCGAGGCATGGAATCGGCCAGACGAGCCCCGCGTATTGCGCAACAAAGATAAGCACGGTACATTGCAGCAAACACTGATCAATCAATAGAGAACGTAAGGAGGCTGGTTCTCTCTTTTCTTTGATCCTCGCCGCTTTGTTCTCCTCTCTCTCTCTCTCTCTCTCTCTCTCTCTCCCTCCCTCCCTCCCTCCCCTCCCTCCCTCCCCTCCCCCTCTCTCTCTCCCTCCCCCCCCCTCCCTCTCTCTCTCTCTCTCTCTCTCTCTCTCTCTCTCTCTCTCTCTCTCTCTCTCTCTCTCTCTCTCTCTCTTTCTCTTGGTCACTCGTGAGTTTCTGCTCGAAGTTGCGCTCTTTGCAGCATTCACCGCGGTATTTGTCCATAGCAATAACTATGTTTTAACTTACAGCACGGTGAGTTTACAGCGAAATTAATAACAATCATGATCGGAAACTAGATAGACATACGCGCAAAATTGAAAATGTATTTATCACGCTCGGTGCTCCAGCACAAAGAGCATACTCGCTTGTCTATTCGCTCGAATTTCGCAGTCATCCACCATTCGTTCCTATGATATATTCAAACCTGTCTCCCGGATAATGTATGTATTGTATGAGGTAGAAAGGAACTTGTTACATCTGGCTCTCGATCGTTCCGTATCTCGCGGAACTCGCGCTACGAACAAAGCGAGATTGGAAACGCGAATATGTCCGTCTGTGATCTTCCAGCAGGGATTCGTCCTCATTTATCATGTTCGTTCGTTAAAAGCATTCTTCATTATTGAGTAGAGGATAATCTTAGCCGCGATACTCCAGACAAAATGCGCGAACGCTCGCGATGGAAGGATAAGCGCGCGCGCGCGCGCACGCTTGACCGATCATCTTGGAACGAGACGAAGCGGGACGTTAATTCTTTTTACGCTTTAATGAAACCGAATGGATAACTCGGTCGGCGGATTGGCAATTATAATGGGCGTATTTTCATTATTCTAGCAAGCAATATTCGCGTTCGCACGTTGCCGTAACAAGATAGCTCGATGAAATTTCGTAACACGGGTCATAGCGCATCGAAATTGGCTGGGAGTACCTGAAGTACGATGTTACGGGTTCCCTCTCACTCGCAATATTTTTTTAGCGCGTGTAAATATTGAATGCGCGAGCAATATTCGCTACCGATTTTACAGAGTGTATCGAAACGTTTATGTAACTCTTATCTGTAAATGACCAGAGTATTCCACAGGACTTCGAAAACACGATGCTAACTTGCGAGCGTTGTTCTCCGAGCGCGCGCGCGCGCGCGCGCGATCTTACGCTTACGTGCAATACCGACGGATTTGCACAAACGACACGAACAATTAACAGATGCGCCCGATTGCTCTATTCCCTAACGTGAGTCAGTCAGCGAAACGCAAGTTTCATGGAGCGTGCGTTATTTCGCGCGAACAAGATGACCCGCCGAAATTACACGGGCTGTGCTGCTCCGCGCAAGACACTAATTTCTCCGCAAATTACTGCCGCGCGATCGAGTTTGTGCGCACGTACGCGACATTATTATGCAACTGTCACGTTTGAAAAACACAAATATATACGTATGGGTAACACGAAATTCCGGTAGGGAATTCAAAAATTTGCAAATTCTATCTAGTTTCCCGATTCTCGCATTTTCGGTATCGGGAAAATGGAATCGATAAATATAAATTGAGAATATAAATTGACACTTTTGCAGTTTGTTATCCACTTCATCCTTTTAACGAATAAAGGCAGCCGCGAGATGGTGAGCGAAAATAAAAAGCAAAGCAAGAGGGAGAAGGAAGAGAAGACACAAAAGGGAGAGGTCAGCGCTGCATGACGTCGCTTCAATTATGACCAGATTGCTATGGCGTTTTTGAAATCGACACTTTGCGTAGAGCGCTCACCACGATAGAACCCCAAACGTCCCGATACTCGCTGACCTTTTTTTTTTTTTTTTTTCACCATCCACTTTGTCGAGGCCCGCCGACACAGGAGGCAGCCTCTGGTATTGGAATTCTAGAGATGCGAAATGCCGTTCTGAAACGGTTGCGCTCGCCGCCGCAGTGCGTTCCATTTCGCGTGAATATCGAGTAGCAGGCAACGAAAGCAGTCGACTTTCCGACCGCGAGTTATTGTCTGCTACCGACGTCTTCGACTCTCATCGAAATTTCTTCCCACTATCCTCTATATCA